AGAGGGAGAAGCAGGCTCTCCGCTGAACAGGGAGCCCGATGCAGGGCTCGATCCCAGGACCCTGGGATCATGACCTGAGCCGAAGGCAGCCGTTTAACCGACTGAGCCACCCAGGCGCCCCTATAAAAATATATTATTAATGTTAACATGTATTGGGGTTATTATTTTGAAATGTATTATTTCATTATGATATAATTAATTATATAAATTATAAATATATTTAAAATTTTTCCCAGTTTTAATTTTAGTACAGTAAGTATCAATAGATGTCATGTATAGATATAAAAGTTCTTTGGGTTCTGAATAATTTTTAAAATTGTAAAGGAATCACAAAACCAAAATGTTTGAGAACCAGTAGTTTAAAGGAAAGAAGACAAATAACTCTGCTACTTCTCTGGCCGTATTACCAGTATTCAACTCCCATTCAATCACTCATTCAACATTTACTTAGTGGATATGATTTATTTGCTAGGTATTGTGCTAGACACTGGGAACTCTGACATGAAATTTAATTTTTTAAGACTTTATTTTTAAGTAATCTCTATACCCAATGGGGCTCGAACTTACAACCCCAAGATCCAAAGTCACAGGCTCTACCAACTGAGCCAGCCAAATGCTGACTCTTGACATGAAACACTTTGCTGTCTGAGATCCCACACTGGGAGAAATAGACATGCCCGCAAATTATCACTCAATGAATGCTGTATTCTGAGAACACAGAGGACAGGGCAACTGAACAATCTGCTCAAGGCTGAAGGCATTTTCCTGGGAGTTAAAATTCGACCTCAAACTTGGAGGGGTGGAGTAAAGGAGTGGAGTATGGATGATGACAGCATTGCAGGTTGAGGAGCTAGCAGGACCATGGTCTCCTGGGAAGGGGAAGAAGTCAGCCTGATGAGGAACATTGAAGGAAGAAGGAACTGCGCTTTTCATAAGACGAGAAAGTAGGCAAACGTTAAATTATAAAATATGTTGTAGTCCAGGCCAAAGATCTTAAATTTTATCTTTCAGGTAACTAGGGACCAATAAGTTTTGAAGTAGAGGATTGCTGTGACCAGCTTTGCATTTTAGAAAGGTAACTCTAGTGGCAATTTTGGAGGATAGATTGGAGAGATCAGAGGTTTTGAAGTCCCATTTAAATTATGTTGGCTTTGAACTTTGATGGTAAACAAGGCAAGAGGAGATCTAGGAATCGAGAGACATTTCTGAGGTAGAGAATGCACAGAATTTATTGTCCCCCTGGACCTGCAAAGAGAGGAACTTGCAGATAATACCAAAGTTTTAGGCTTATGAGAGTGAACATATGGTGGTTCTCTAACTCTGATGATTGAGAAAGTAGGCTGTGAAGGTGGACAGTAAGGTCCACATTGGAGGTGCAGAGAAGTTACCTTGGGAACATCTGGGTGTCTAGATGTCCAAAGGGCAACTGGATATAGGGTTGGATTCCAGCAAGAAATCTAAGTTGCAGGTAAAGATTTAGAAGTTGTCAGAATAAGAGTGGTAGATAGCTGATGTCATCTTGGGAGAGCAGGGAGAGTGACAAGAGGATACGAAAACGCATTTAAATGGTGGTCAGGGAAGAAGTCAGCAGGGCAGAGAAAGCATGATCAGAGAATTGGGAGACAGTGGGGTCTGAGAAGCCAAGGAAGAAGTTCTGAGGACTAGGACATGGCCCAAAGCATCAAATGCTGCAGGATAGTCAAATGTATCAAGAACTGAAAACAGGCTTTGGATGTGGCAGTTAACTGAGAAGTCACTGGTGACCTCAGGCAAAGCCATTTTATTTTGGATTTAGTTTCGATTTTAGTGAAGTGAGTGAATCTGCCTTTAGAAATGGAAAACAGTGTGGACAGACCAGAGGTCATAAGCCAATGTCAAGAAGACTATTCAGTTTACATCCACATAATTTTTCTCCACCTGTCCCTCATTTAGCTCAACTGCTTGGACTGTACAGGAATTTAAGTTAACATTAGAATAGATTATGTCAATGGAGTGTAGGAGAAGCTGAAGGTAGGGCAATAGGTTTAAGAGAAAAAGGTCAACGGAAGATTGTTTTTTTTCTGGGGGTGGTGGTTAGGAAGGAGATAAACATTAAATGAATGAATCAATAAATGGTGTGTGTCTCTTCAGTACCAGATGGAGGGAAATTGAGGACGTTTGTCTCCGTCAGATGACCTCTACGCTTTGTTGGGGGAAGAAATGAACGCTGTAACACAAGAGACAGATGGAGCAAGTGGCCCAGGTTGCTGGCGGTTCCTGCTTTATGCTTCATGCCTCCTAGAGCTGAAATTGAATAGAGCCTTGAAGCAGTGGTTTAGGCTGTGTTTGGTTTCAGGGCTTGGCTTTTCTTTGTTGTACATTCTCAACTTTCATAGGTGTACTTCCTATTCCATCCCCTCCCATTCAGTATCCACTGTACTTACCTTTTCTCAGTCTCCAATCTCCTGGGTACTCCAATCTAGATCCATAAGGAGGCTAAATTCACTTATCGTTTCAGCAAACAATGAGCAATGTGCACCTTCTGTAGACAATGCTTAACCTCAAAGGAGCAATGGCAATCTGAGACCTCTTTGGAGCTTTGGGCCCTGTGGGATTTGGTCTTTGGAGGGCAAGGAGAAGGAAAATCTGGGAGCAGGTGGAACCCAGTGACATGAGCAGTTCTTTTTTTTAAGATTTTTAAATTTTATTTTTTTAAAGATTTATTTATTGGGGCGCCTGGGTGGCTCAGTCATTGGGCGTCTGCCTTCGGCTCAGGTCATGATCTGGGGGTCCTGGGATGGAGCCCCGCATCGGGCTCCCTGCTCAGCAGGAAGCCTGCTTCTCCCACTCTCACTCCCCCTGCTTGTGTTCCCCTTCTCCCTGTGTTTCTGTCAAATAAATAAAAAATCTTAAAAAAAAAAATTTATTAATTTTTTTTGAGAGAGCAGCACAAGCAGGGGGATAGGGAAAGCAGGCTCCCCACGGAGCAGGGAGCCCGATGTGGGGCTCCATCCCAGGACCCTGGGATCATAACCTGAGCTGAAGGCAGATGCTTAACGGACTGAGCCACCCAGGCGTCCCAAAATTTAAATTTGCGTGTGTGCGCGCACAAGAGAGGGAGCATGAGTTGGGGGGAGGGGCACGGGAGAAGCAGACTCCACACCGAGCTGGGAGCCCCACGTGGGGCTCGATCCCAGGACCCTGGGATCCTGACCCGAGCCGAAGGCGGATGCTTGACCAACAGCCGCCCAGGTGCCCGAAATGAGCAGTTCTGACTCATGGTTTCTTTTCACTCTTGGTAAAGGTGGTGTGCTAATCAAAGCCATTCTCTGAAGTGACAAGAGGAAAGTGAGTCATTTGGTGAGGCCACCTGGATTGAAACTGGGCTGCTTGCCCGAGGAGTACATGAGGAAGGAACCGTCCTACCATGCTGTCAGCCTGAAGTCTACTTCTATGTGGTTCATACATGGTAAATCCTTGTAGGGATAACTGACGGGGATGCAACTGCTTGTCCTTGAATATAAGCACGGCGTGATTACATAACTTACCTTGACCTTTAGGAAGGGACTTGACCTCCCAGGTTCTTCACTAGTAACAGGAGTGTATTTCCCCTTACCTCCCAGATTCTTCACTAGTAACAGGAGTGTATTTCCCCTTACCTCCCAGATGAGGCGGGGGATAAATAGGATAAAGGACCTGGCACCACAGCGGGTATACAGCACGGGGGTGGGGTGGGATGGGGTGGGATGGGGTGGTCACAGTGGGGTTTCCTCTCTCTGCAGCCCACTCTTTTTCCATATGTGTAGACGGACAGAAACTTGACTGACCGTACCTCTGGCTACACTTAATATTCTTAGTATTTATTTCCCCCTCATCTACGTCTCATTTAGGGGGTCTGGCAGTATTTTAGGTATCATTTATAAGCTAGCTTAAATCTTTTGGAATAAGGTAGAACATTAAAAAAAATAAGCACTTCATACCAGAATAGTATAGTTTGGCTTTTTGTTTAATTCTAAAATACTTTATAATTAATATTGATAGGAAGACTGATATACAACGCAATTATTTACTTTACAAGGAGATTCTGTACATCAGGGAAGCATCTTGAAGTACAATACATCCGATTTTTATTTCTTCTTTACATTATGATTGGGAATTGTTACTTACACAAAAAGGGAACACAAAATCCATTATATATATATATGTATATATAAAAAACACCTGAAAAGACTTGACCCCCAAAGCATCTTGTTTCAAAAGAACATGATGAGATGAAAGATGAACTAGAGTCCTTAGCGGCACATAGAAAGCAGACAAGTAGCTCAGGAAATCAAATCGTGTTTCAAACTTGGCACATTAAGGGAAAGCCAGGCAGCGGAAGAAGGGTTTGAAAAAGTCACTTCAAGTCACAGAGAATGCTGGTATAAGCCAAACAATCTCCGAACTAACAGACAGAAGTCACGTGTGTGGCCACCTTAAATACAGACCTCTAACAACTGTGTAGAACTGTCACTTTCCCTGCAGTCACACCAAATGTAATAAGCTTCAAGGAGCTGTGGCCCCACGATAGCTCCAAACCCACAAAGCATTTGACAGTAACTGAAAAATCTGAATACTTCCCTATTCCCCATACAAAGAGAAAATACTACCTTTTATGGTCACCTCACCTCCTTTGTTCTGACCGGATATTCTGATTTTTCAGTAATTATTATAGGGATATAAAAGCAGAAAACGAGGAACAGCTATGAACAGCTGCAGCAAAACAGGAACTGCAGAAGAAATCTATGAAACAGCCACCATTTTCTGAACATTAAGGGGAAAAAAAGCCACATTCATCAGTTAAATAGGAACTATTTTTTTTCTTCCACTTAATATGGACAGGTATTAGAAGGAAACGGTGAGGCTGTATGGTTTTCAAAATAAAAACTCAGAGCAAATGAATTTTCTGTTCTAGGAAATCATATTAATATATATTACAAATACAAAAAGAGGTGGGGGCTGAGCCAAGGCCCAAGCACCGACGACACTGGCGACTGCTTGGCAGAGGAGGGGTGCGTGAGGTGGAGGCTGCCAGAGAGGGTAGGGTCAGCAGGAGGGAAGTGGGAGAGCCTGGCAGGAGGGGGCCAACAGCACTGAGGAGAAGGGAGGAGGAGCGGGTCATGACTGTGTCCCTCCTACTTCCTCCTCCAGAGACCCCTTCCGGTCCAGCACCCCGTGTTCCGAGACCTTGCAGTGATTCTGGCTGGAAACGTGGGGGCCCAAGGAGGACGGCTGCTCCCACGTCTTTCAAAACTCTTTTTTATGGACGAGGCTACATCTACTGGTCAGAATGACTTAGAATATCATTTGGTATGACGAAAGCACAATAGCTTATAAAATTTAAGCAATGAGTGAGTTTTCTGACAAGTTGGCATTGACAATAAAGGCCTTTGAGCTTTGCACAGTGGCAGTATTGTAGCCAATGAGGTTTATCCGAGGCGCGATTATTGCTAATTGAAAACAATAAAGGCCTTTTTTGGTTTTGGTTTTGTATATAGAAAACATACATGCTTTCTCATTTTCCGAACTTGGCATCTAGTTGCAGCTCAGATTGTTTAACAGATAGGAAAAATATAAGTTTCCAGCACTTCTTCAAGATTTTTTTTTTTTTTTTTAATTTTAAAAATAAAAATCAGGATGACTTGTGCCAAAAGGTTGGACCATGTCAGATCCTGAGCTTCTCTGAGGCTGGACTGCCTGAAGAGGACTATACTGCTGGGTTATGAGAGGCATAGTGCGGTGCTTTCAATGGACGTGCCAGTGTGGTGTGCAGGCGTGCCCTGGACATGGGAGCCCCTTTGCCAGAAGGCCGGGGGCCTCCAGAAGGTTCTTCCCACCACCAGCTGGATTTGACAGCTGGAATTTGGTGCCACACAAGGGGATCTCAGAACCAGGACCGAGCAGGTAAGGCTAATGGTGCAAACTGTGCCCCAGCGCAAGCAGTCATCTTGGGGCGAGGGTGGCTGGTGGGGAAGACCCCTCAAGTACGCTGCAATATTACAAGGTTCAAGAGCACTGAAAAAGTGTTCAGTTTTGTCCAGAGCAGCACATGACCACCCATTCCAGTGAAATGCTACATTCATAGACGTGCTGTTCGCCCCAGAACTACGTCCCAGAGGACTCAATCCTGGCTGTGCTGGGAAGTGCAGAAATTCCTTTCACATCACTCTGGAGACTGAAGTAGCCAAGCAGCCCTGTGTTGGGGAGTTGTTTAGTTCCTCTCTCAGACTTCAGCATCATGGACGATGGTAGCTAAAACAAGATGAGCAAAAAGGGCCGAGTTATCAAATACTGTAGATTATTTTGCTGCTATGACACTCTCATTTTTCAAAATTGCCTCTCTGCTACTCTAATTCTACCTGACTTTTCTTCTTCTTTTTTAAAAGTAATCTCCACACCCAGTGGGGCTTGAACTCACAACCTCGAGATCAGATGCTCTAACGACCGAGCCAGCCAGGCGCCCTGTTTTCCTTCTTCTTTAATTGCTTTTCCTCAGAATGCTTTCCTGGTTCATTTTCCTCTGTCCATCCTTTAAATAAATTTTCCCCTTAAGAACCACTATCTTTTCTCATAATTTTCTACTTGAGGCTTTGCTTTCTCCCTGGACTCATATAGCCTGAATATCCAACTGTCTTCTATGCTTCTCCAACCACCTCAATGTGTCACAGGTTTGTCAAGCTCAACATACATAGTGTATTTTCCAGTTTGTTTACTGTCTGCCTTCCCCTTTTAGAATAAAAGCTCATTGGGCACCTGGGTGGCTCAGTTGGTTAAGTGACTGCCTTTGGCTCTGGTCATGATCCCAGGGTTCTGGGATCGAGTCCCACATTGGGCTCCCTGCTCAGCAGGGAGCCTGCTTCTCTCTCTCCCTCTGCTTGCCGCTCCCCTTGCTTGTGCTCTCTCTGTCAAATAAATAAATAAAATCTTAAAAAAAAAAAAAAAGAATAAAAGCTCATTGAGGACGGGGACTTTATCTTGTTCCAGGCTATATTCCAAGTACCTAGAACTGCTATCTACCAGGTAGTTGGTACTCAATAAATATTTGCTGAATAAATGTCCTAAAGTGTTCACCTCAACTCCTCATCGACTTCATAAACCTCAAAAATCGTAAGTTCGAAATCTTAAGAGTCACTTGACTACTTCCTTTAATTCATCCCTGGAATCAAGAGATAACCCAATCTTGAGTCTATGCTTGAAATGTGTTTTTTTTTTGTTTCTTCTTTTATCTGAGAGCGAGCACGCACGAGCAGGGGGAGATGCAGAGGAAGAGGGAGAAACAGACTTCCTGCTGAGTGTGGAGCCCTGATGCGGGGCTCAATCCCAGGACCCCGAGATCACAACCTGAGCTGAATCAGACACTTAATCGACTGAGCCACCCAGGCGCCCCCTATGCTTGAAATGTTGTTCAAACCTCTCTCTTGCATTGTCATGATCACTTCCCTGGTTTGAGCTACCAATATGCTCACTGTGACTATCTTAGTTACTTCCTAACTGGTTTCCTTGCTGCTAGCTAGTTTCTTCAGCTTTCCATGTCACCTTCCACAGTTCCACCAGAATTCCATCTGAAACACTCAACTCCAGTGGTTCCTGTGTCCTAGAATAACAGGCAAAGCTCTTCAGAGTGTGACCGTAACTCAGCGTGCCGGTCTCCTCTTCACCACACTGCTCCCATATGTCCCCTGCTCCAGCTACATTTTCTGTCACCCAGAGACAATGCACACTTTCTCACCTTCCATAGCCTTGTTAATGCCAGCCCTTCTGCTTAGAATGCTGCTTGGTAATGCTGGTTCTTTCCTTCCTTCCTTGTCCAAATAAATTCTTTCACGTGCTTTAAGATCTGGTCTAAGCATCACCTTCTCTATGACTCTTTCCTTTAATGTTGCTCACTGTAGTACTTTATTACTATTATAATAACAATGAGAATGGCTAATACTGACATAGCCAGGAAATAGTAGAGTTGGGATACGAGACCTGGCAGATTCAAGATTCAGAATGACTGAGGCATTTATCATACTGACTGCACTATATTGAATAGTATACAGGTCTTTTTCTAGATTAGACCACAGCCTCCTTCCTGTCAAGTATGGCTTGTTATTTGAGTTCGTATTACAATGCCCCGGATAGTGTTATTGCTGTTCAAAAAATGTGCCTTCTCTACTCCTATCAGAGTTCAGTACAAAAAAATTCTGTAATTAAAAGAACCAGGGCACCTGGGTGGCTTAGTCGGTTGAACATCCAACTCTTAGTTTCAGCTCAGGTCACAGTCTCAGGGTCATGGGATTGAGCCCCGTGTCAGGGTCCGTGATTTGTGTGGAGTCTGCTTGAGATTCTCTCTCTCCCCCTCTGTCCCTCCCCCTGCTCACGCATGCTCTCTAAAATGAATAAATAAATCTTAAAAAAAAAAAAAAAAGCACCATTTGCCTGTATTGTGATGGAAAAATGTTTAACAATATTTTATTTTCCAACTTTGCTTTTTATTAGCAAACTGTAATTGTCATTGTATCTTCCCTCATTTAGCCTCTTTTTTAAAGTTTATTTTTAGTAATTTCTACATCCAATGTGGGGCTTGAACTCACGACCCCGAGATCAAGAGTTGCATGCTCTTCCAACTGAGCCAGCCAGGCACCTCTGGCTTTTTATAAATGTTCTGAGAGTCACCTACACACTTCCACAAATTCCATTTGTAGCCAGCTGATTCTTTAGGTATTGGGTGGGTCCTTAATTACAACAGTAATTCCACATCAAAATACTTCTTGGTTTGTTTCATGAAGACAGCTAACTAAAATGAAATTTATACACTAAATTGGAAGATCAGCAGTGATAGAAATAACTGAAATCAAAGAGGCTGAGGTCTTGTCTACCTTAACAACAATTTCCTCATACATACCCTGGGATAGTGAGGTGCAGGAAAAGAGCACCCAGGGGCTTTCAGTCAGTCATTCTTTTCTCCAGTCCTGGTTCTGCAACTTAATGAAACCTGGGCCTGTTTCATTTCTTTTTTTTTTTAAAGTAAGCTCTACACCCAACGTGGGGCTTCAATTTACAACCCCCCAGATCAAGAGTCTCGTGCTCCACTGACTGAGCCAGCCAGGTGCACCTGGCCCGTTTCTTCATCAACAAAATGGGGATATTAACAAAGCCTCCAGGTTTATTGCAAGGATTAAATAATATACATAAGATACTACACTCAGTATAGGCATTTCCTACTGCCTATTGGTCCTCATCCCTTTCTCTTAATGTAGTCTTGCAGTCAGCATGCTGTGTCCTTTTAATGATGTCGCTGGAGTCCTGCCCATTGGAACAACTCTGGTATGCCTGTGTTGTGGTGGAGCTCTACTCAGTTCACAGTATTTGGGTCTTCTGGGTCTTACCGTGTAAAATGTTTGCTCTCTTCGTGAACCTCCATCTCTGAGCTTTTAAATTCATTTAATTCTTTTCTTATGGCAGCCTGTGGAGTAGAAACAAAAATGTTTCAGCATCTTCTGTCTGCCATAGTATAGCTGTGTCATTTGCCATCTGTTCTCTATTGTGCTTAACTTCGTGAGCCACGGCAACCCACAGAGGGCAAGCCAGAGCGAGGAAAGAAGCCAGGTCCGCACGCTGAACCTGATACACACGTCGCCTTCCCCGACACCATTCATCTAATAAACCGAATATCCCCCCTTAAACCAAAACACTCACAGAGACTAAAAGAGATATTGCAGCTTTTATAGTTTCCATAGCACATAAAAATGCTTTTCCTGTTATAAAAGTGAAATACAGGTAATTACTAAAATATACCACCGAAACTCTCTCCAACCAAACCTAACCACTGTTAAAATATGTTTTAATCTCCTTCCAGATTTGTGGACTCTGTGATATAGCAAAGGATTTTCTTTTCTTTTGGTTGTGGTGGTCGTGGTGGCTGTGGAGTCGTTACTATAAAGTTTTGGTTCGTACATCTTGGCATTTTCGTATCTTGATTAGAAATTTAACATTGTATCAAAAGTAAAAACTTTACGGTTTCCCCTTCTACTTAGTGTCTTACATTCTTCAAATAGAGAAACAAACAAACAGCCACCTACCTTGTCAGCAGGGGTCAGTTTGGTCCAAGGTTTGTCGGCTCGCCGGTCATAATCTTGAGCATCTGTTACTTCCACATATTCATTAAACCTCAGGATCTTCCTGGCAAGTAGTTCAGCCACGGTTGGCCTTTGACTGAGCTGAAAGAAATGGAGCCTCTTAATTCACTATGCCATGAATTAGGCATCAAGGATGCATTCAAATTGCCTCTAACCCAGCGCTTCAGCCTCAGCGGCACATTAGAATTACCTGGGGGCCTTTAGACACTACCGATTCCTGGGTCCATTCCCAGAGATTCTAGGTATTGGGAGGTTTTGTTTTGTTTTTAAAGCTCCTGAATGGGGGCGCCTGGGTGG